GGCTCGCGGGCAGCAGCGAGTGGACATACGCGGGCAAAGGCCTAAGCCGTGAAGGCCTAGGCGAGATGGGCGATGCGCTGGCGGGAGTGGACCGCGACCGCGTATGAGTAGCAGTACTGAGCGACGGCACACACGCGCAAGAAGATGGCAGCAGCAATGGGGAGCGTGCGTTAGCACGCGAATGCAGCACAAGCGCAGGTGCCCTAGGCGGGGTCGGATTAGGAGACGCACGCGAGGGGACGCACTGATGACGAATCGAATTTTTGTTTGTACGGGTTGTGAATAAACGGCGCACTCAGGGCCTTCGTTTATCCACGATAGGTGTATCTAGCAGACGCACTCAGGGCCTTCTCCTAGACACTGTGACTTCGAGACGCACTCGGGGCCTTCTCTCCGACAATGTATGTAAACACGCACTAACGGCCTTGTTTATCACACGTTAGAACATAAAGTTCCCCTAAAATTTGGCTCACCAATTCAATACTCAATTCAAGACATGAAAATAATGATGAGGTACATGGGGTATTTATAGGTGCATAAATTAAATCTAAGCCTAACTAAACTATATCTCCTAAATCTTGCAATAATAGAAATCCTAATACTAGAAAATCTCCTACATATTAATTAAAAGCATAAAGGAAATAAATCGTTCTACTACCATAATTCTAAATGTCTTGACTTGCACTCCAAGCATAACTTGAAGCTCAAGTCATTCGCACCCAACCAACTTCTCGGCCACCTCATGACCCCTCTCGCGCATGTGCGCGTCTTGCAATCCTTGGCGGACTCGGTCTCCTGCGCGCGCCCCTCGCCTATGCCTACCGCGCATAGGCATATGCTTGCGCATGCTGTCCACTAGCGCGCCATCGTGCGTGCCTCGCTACCGCCGCCCGTGTCCCGCACGTCCTCGCCACCCGCGCAATTTCCATGCACACCCAGTCCTCCAGCGGTATTCTCGCGCCCGCCTTGCCGCTTACGCGTGCCCCACGGTACTTTACGCCTATGCGCGCTATCGCCCGTCGTGCACCCGTGCTCGCCCCCTCTGGTCCGCGTGCGTATTTCGCTCGCCCATTCGTGCGCATCAAGTGTCGATGCGCACCTTTTGCGTTTCAACCCTCCAAGTTCACTAGCCTCGCCAGTGCTAACCATCACTTCCGTATCATTCCCCTCCTCTTCAAGACTTTCCTTGTCCCCAAGGATAAGAAAATTCAGCACCTCCACATTATTTTCTTCTTCGATTGGTAAATCGCCTTGATCCTCAGTTCTTATCTTAACCCGCCTTCCCGGCCTACCAAACTCCATCTTCCCTCGCTTATAATCAGTAGTAATGGGCCTAAGTGTTTCCAACCATTGTACGCCCAATACCACATCCGTTGCTTTCAGTGGTAACGCATAGAGATCGATTTCCAACTCTTGATCCTGAGCCATAATCGGAACCTTCTTGAACAACTGATTACCTTGAAGTTCGTGTCCATTGGCTACCTTAATCCCAAATCTCTTGACCTTAGTGGGCTTCAGCTTTAGCCTCCTGGCTATCGTCTCGTCTATGAAATTCAGACTCGACCCACTATCTACCAACACTTCCAACAACATGTCCTTTATCTCAGCAGTGAATCTAATCATCTTCGGACCACGCTTCTTGAACTTAACCATATGTAGCAAAGCCTCCTCGTGTGGTTCTTCTTTCTCTTCAAATTCCAACAGAAATACTTTCTTACCTTTGCACTTATGGCCTGGTGTGAATTTCTCGTTGCACGAATAGCAAAGGCCTTTTTCCCTACGTCGCTGCATCTCTTCATCAGTAAGCCGCCGAATATTGCTCGTTGTGCGCACAGCTTCGCCCAACGGCTTGCTTTCGGCTCGCGCCGTTTGCTCCTCGGCTGCTACGTGCGTGCGCTTGGCCACGAGATGATCTTCGTGTTGTCTAGCCGACTCTATGGCTGCTCGCATCGATCCTGGCCTGTCCAACCTTACTTCGGCGGCTAACTCAGCCTTCAATCCTCTAACAAACGTTCCTACTAGCGCACTTTCGGGCCAATCCCGCACCCTACTAGCAATGCGTTCGAACTCCTTTTGATAATCCCTTAGACTACCCACTTGCTTAATTCTTGACAAAGCCTCATTGTAATCGTGGTAGTCACTCGAGCCAAACCTCGTGATGAGCTCTTTTTCGAAATCTCTCCAACTCATGTGCTCACCATGGTTCCTGTGCACAACCCATTGCCACCATACGTTTGCTTCCCCATCAAGATGATAAGCAGCAATTTGTACTCTTTCGTACCTTTGCACATCATTGATATCAAAGAATTGCACAGCTCAACTCAACCATGCATCTGGATCTGTCCCCGTGAACGTGGGCATGACAATTTTCGGTCGTGTACTTGCCCGCTCGTCCCGTGGTTCGTCGCGATCGTGGTACCGGGCACATCTCTTGTCCCGTCGTTCGTCGCGTCGTCGGCCCTCGCGATGTGGCCACCGCTCATCGTGTGTCGCATACGACGCGTACGTTGCGTGTGATCGCAAGTCATCGTATTGCTCGCGCCTACGGTCATGATGTGCGTGCCCGTCAATCCGTCGTCGGTCGTCGTAGTGGTGGTCCGTGCGCGATGCGCGTGTGCCCCGCGATCGGCGATTGTCCTCGCGCTCGGTCCCGATGCTTGTCGTCGTGGACCGCAATCCGTGACCCCTCCTTGGCCGCGTGTGCATGCGTGTGAGTTGCCCGGCCAAGTCCTGGACCATCAGCTCAATCCTTCCTAAGTTCTCGTTGGTAGCATGTTTGCCATCGCCAATGATTTTCATGTTGTCTTCCAACGCTTTGATCCTCTCACGGTTTGACATCATAATTATTTTTTTTTTGACTCTATAAATTCGAAAAAATCGAACCAAAATAAAAAATAAAAAGAAATTTGGCCCCTCAACAAAAGGTAATAACCGAAACAAAAATCAAACAAAGGACAAACAAGATGACACTTTTTTTTCAGACTCAAATCGAAAAATAAAAGGGAAAATTCGAACAAAAATTCGAACCCCAACAAAAAATAAAGAAAAATTCGGCCCCTCAGCAAAAGGCAAACCGAAAAAGAAGAAAAGATACGACAAACAAAGTTTCGATCAGCACCTCTCAACGAAAGCACCAATGATGACGGATCGAACTTTTGTTTGTACGGGTTGTGAATAAACGGCGCACTCAGGGCCTTCTCCTAGACACTGTGACTTCGAGACGCACTCGGGGCCTTCTCTCCGACATTGTATGTAAACACGCACTAACGGCCTTGTTTATCACACGTTAGAACATAAAGTTCCCCTCAAAATTGGCTCATCAATTCAATACTCAATTCAAGACATAAAAATAATGATGAGGTACATGGAGTATTTATAGGTGCATAAATTAAATCTAAGCCTAACTAAACTAGATCTCCTAAATCTTGCAATAATAGAAATCCTAATACTAGAAAATCTCCTACATATTAATTAAAAACATAAAGGAAATAAATCCTACTACTACCATAATTCTAATTGTCTTGACTTGCACTCCAAGCATAACTTGAAGCTCAAGTCATTCGCACCCAACCAACTTCTCGGCCGCCTCATGACCGCCTCATTCGCATGTGCGCGTCTTGCAATCCTTGGCGGACTCGGTCTCCTGCGCTCCTCTCGCCTATGCCTACCGCGCATAGGCATACGCTTGCGCATGCGGTCCACTCGCGCGCCATCGTGCGTGCCTCGCTACCGCCGCTCGTGTCCCGCGCGTCCTCGCCACCCGCGCGATTGCCACGCACGCCCAGTCCTCCCGCGGTATTCTCGCGCCCGCCTGGCCGCTTGCGCGTGCCCCCCGGTACTTCGCGCCTATGCGCACTATCACCCGTCGCGCACCCGTGCTCGCCCCCTCTGGTCCGCGTGCGTATTTCTCTCGCCCATTCGTGCGCATCAAGTGCCGATGCGCACCTTTTGCGTTTCAACCCTCCAAGTTCACTAACCTCGCCAGTGCTAACCTCCACTTCCGTTTCACGCACGCGCGGGATGATGGTGGCGCGGACTGGGGTCACGCAAGGGCGCGCGCGTGTGGGACTGACGAGGCGCGCGATGCCTCGCGCGCCAAGGATTAGGAAACCGAAGGGCGGCGCGCGCATACGCGTGGGGCGCGCGACGCGTATGGAAGGCGGCAAGAGTTTGATTGAGAGCAATAGACTTATGCTTCAAGTTATGCTTGGAGTGCAAGTCAAGACAATTAGTATTTTAGTTAAGTTAGGATTTTATTTCCTTTATGCATTTAATTGATATGTTAGGAGATTTATTAGCTTTAGGATTTATTTTATTGCTTGAATTAGGAGATCTAGTTTGATTAGGCTTAAATTTATTTTGCTCCTATAAATACCCCATGTACCTCATCATTATTTACATGTTGAATGTTGACTCTTGGAATTGATGAGTGAATCTCATAGAGGGGGAACTGATGTTCTTACGTACGCTTAAACAAGGCCATTAGTGCGTGTTTACATACAGTGTCGGAGAGAAGGCCGTTAGAGCGTCTCGAAGTCACAGTGTCTAGGAGAAGGCCGATAGTGCGTCTGTTAGATACACCTATCGTGGATAAACGAAGGCCCTAGTGCGCGTTTATTCACAACCCGAGTACAAACAAAAATTCGATCCGTCATCATTGGTGCTTTCGTTGAGAGGTGCTGATCGAATCTTTGTTTGTCGTATCTTTTCTTTTTTTCGGTTTGCCTTTTGCTGAGGGGCCAAATTTTTCTTTATTTTTGTTGGGGTTCGAATTTTTGTTCGAATTTTCCCTTTTATTTTTCGATTTGAGTCTTAAAAAAAGTGTCATCTTGTTAGTTCTTTGTTTTGTTTTGTTTTTTTCGGTTATTACCTTTGTTGAGGGGCCGAATTTTTTTTCTTTCTTTTGGTTCGATTTTTTCGAATTTTTCCCTTTTTATTTTCGAATTTTTAGAGTAAAAAAAAAATTAAAATTATGTCTTACCCACCAATGGATGAGTTAGATTGGGAGGATCTTGAGATGTTGGAAGGTTTAGAAAGAGAGCTGACACCTTGGGAGAAAACATATCTTGACGAGCTTCATGAGCGAAGGAATATAGAGGAGTATGAACGTCAACTCATGGAAGCCCAAGAAGCAAGGGTGATCGATGTCCAAGGTAACAATGGTGATGAAGGTGCGCTGAATTTTCTAATCCTTGAGGACAAGGAAAGTCTTGAAGAGGAAGGGAATGATACGGAAGTGGTTATTAACCCCGGTGAATCCAAAGATGAGGATGACGATGGTCTTGTTATTTGGCTAGAAAACATGTTGGAAGAGCCATCTAGTCCTATTTACCGGCCATCATGTGTGAGGGATTGGCCGAAAGGATGTGGTCCACGAGCTAAGCTTAAGCCTAAGAGACGCAAGACAAAACGAGCTCGAAGGAAACACAAGACGAAGGCAAAAGAAGAGAAGTGTTGGTGCAAGCCATGTGCGAGAAAGAGACGAGCATGGAAGATGGAGGCTCGAAGGCGAGGTAAGCAAAGGATGGAAGAGAATTGGATATGGAAAGCTGGGGATTGCCATAATGGAAAGTGTGTTGAAGGATGGGACCCGTGGGATGAACCAGGACCATTGGGCAAGCACTTGGAGTCGGTTGGCAACGAGGGTGCGAGCACGAGAAAGGAACGCGCATCGTGCCTTGATGCGCGCAAATGGTCGAATGAGCGAGACGATGTACGGGAGTACACGATGAGCGAGCAGGCCACGGAGGCCGACTGGCATGCGTGCGGGGAAGCCGACATTGGCGCGGGGCTCGCGGGCAGCAGCGAGTGGACGTACGCAGGCAAAGGCCTAAGCCGTGAAGGCCTAGGCGAGACGGGCAATGCGCTGGCGGGAGCAGACCGCGACCGCGTAGGAGTAGCAGTACTGGGCAACGACACACACGCGCAAGAAGATGGTAGCGGCAACGGGGAGCGCGCGTTAGCGCGCGAATGCAGCACAAGCGCGGGTGCCCTAGGCGGGGTCGGATTAGGAGACGCAGGCGAGGGGACGCACGCGCGGGATGATGGC